ATGATAATTTATTCACGTGACTGTTTTTGATTGGATAAAAATCATGTGATCTATTATGATCGGCAAAAAAAAAAATTCGGATTGTTTGCCTTTTAGATGATCTGCACCATACCAATTATTAAGATTCTTGTAGAAATCGTCACCTACCTCAATAGCAAGGAATCTTCTTACTGGTCTTTTCCTGACTTCCTTTCCTCAAATTTTGAAGCGATCGTTAATTTTCCACCGGATACCAACGATATTAAGGGTCTTTCTGGCACCTGGCTGAAACGCTTCATGCTTGAAGCAAAAGCAAAGGGCTTTGAGTATAAAATTTCTAAGGTAAATATGTTTCAAATTTGGTAAAAAGGCACCTCCTGCCAGGTAATACCTGAGACATGGAGTATGAGTAATTTACTCGCCAAGTGCTAGGGGGTTTTTAAAAATCTTGCCAGGTATTACCTGAGTCAGGAGGATCAGTACTTACTGTCCCCCCTATGTGCGACATTTCTTTTTATTATGGTTTTATCATAAATTTCGTATGGATGAATATTTGTTTACTAATTATGGATTTAAACTCATTAAGGGTCAAAATTCGAATGTGCAAAAATTTTTAATGATGTAATTTCTGCTCGACTGGATGTAAGTGATGCTAGCCTTGTTAATCCCACTGTCTTCCATTATTGACACCAATTATGATTCTAAACATTGCAATAGATCTTACGACAACAAAATATCACAATTTTGAAAGTAGGTTTGAAATGATTTTATGCTCATAATTTTTCAACAGGCTTAATGGAGCTTGTTTATAATTAGTCAAAGGTCAAGATTATTGCGGACGAGAAAGGCATTAATCTTGTTACAGCTTCCTCTGAATTTCATGGATCTCAAATGATCGCAGAATATTCACAAAATCAAAACAGTACATAAATGACGATGAAAACATTATCGAAAGCAACCAATCATTATCAAGAAAAAGACGAGATGTTGAGGAATTACCTTTTACAAGGTCTGAATATAACTTGTTATTTGTTTTCAAAATCGTCTTTTAACCCTTTCGAAATATGTGCACAAATAAGAAACATAAAACGACAAAAAGATCCTAGTGAAGAGGTACGACATGTTTTCAATGTATATTCTGCAACAAACCATCATGCGTAGTAATTAACTTTTTCTTCTCAATATTTAGACCCCAGCTCACGATGATGAAAGTGACAATGAGAGTATTATGAGCGATTCGCCACTTTACGACGAATTTGTAAGGGAGATGAAGATGGCTGATGAAACCAAAGAATATTACTCTGATCCGGAATCTACGGAATCTGTTAATGATGATGATGATGACTACGTTTATAGTTCGGAGTCTTCGTCCCGTGATAGTTTCGGATAATGATAATACTGTTGTAGATGATAGTAAGCTGAAGACAAAGATAGAGTTTACTGAATTCGAAAAGACTTACTTAAAAATGAATGACTCGGACAAATGGATTCTTTCTACGGGAAAGATAGTAGATGATGTTCTATACAATTTTGGTATTAAATGCAGGCACGAACAGTAAATATCCTTTATGTATTGGACAAAGCTCGGGTTCTATTACTTGACATCTAACATTTTGCGACTTTCCAAAGCCTATGTCATTCATTTGTAATAGATCCAAATGACAACATTTATATCGATGAAGAAGTTTTTACTGAGACTGAACTTGATGAAATTCGAAAATATAAACTTAAGCCAATGCCACATATGTCCAAGACTTATTAACGTACCTTAACAATTTTCGAGTGGTAGGTAGTTTTATATATCTTGTTGATAATATTATTATGATCATTTACTTACTTGTACATCCTGAATCAGTCAGACATCTCAAGCCTTAGAAATGCTATATTTAAATCTCAGAAGTGGGATTCTCCATACAATCGACAAACATATTTTGATCATGATTGGATTCGAAATACTGCGTACAACTTGTAGGTTCTGTCCAATAGTAAATTATTTCTTTTTATTCCTGGATTATTAATTTCTATCTTGATCTACAGATTACATGAACATGAAGCGGGGAGTTTAGAGAAGGATCATCTGGAATTGTGGCTCTTGGTTCATGTTTGGAATTTTGTAGACAGAGGATTTGGGAATGTCGATGGATTGGAAACCGCAAGGTAGGGAAGATAACACTAACCATTCTTCTATGATAAGTGGTTCATATCTTTTTTGCATCAGGTCGGAGTCATCTAGCCGGGCATCCTCGAATAGGAAAAATCGTAATCGAACCGGATCTGCAATTGTCAAAATGAAGAGAAAGATTATGGGAAGGCGTGGAGATCTTATCATTCGAAAGGTTTCTACTGAGTACGGATGTTCAGAGGCCGGTAAATCTTTTGAAGGTAACAATGGGACAAAACTTTTGCATGAAAGAGGTATAAAAGCTCCGAAGATGATGAAGGATATGTTTTATTCTTTGTGTGAAGCTGTTGGAAATGAAGAGAAAAAGATAAGGAAACTACAATCTATCGGGTTTATACACTCAGGTAGGTGTTGATTATGGAGTCCCTCACATATATATTGTTTTAGTGACTTATTTTATCATTTCTCTGAATGAAATTTAGGTCTGATGATATTATTGCTCAGATTAAATTCCCCTGCTGGCTATACATGCCGAATAACTCGAACAAAAATGTTGGAAATCCCCTCACAAATAACACAATTCGGCTCAAAAGTACTTCCCGTAATTATGTTGGCGTGGAAGGCAAAAGTATGTACTTTTGTTTAAGCACTTGTAGTTTACAATCGCTTAGGTCTAATAATTTTGTTATTTCACAGATGATTGTTAAGGAAACAATCGAATTTATTGAGCAAAAGCAATATTCAGATGATGAATAAAATACAGACGATCACTTCAAAAGTTACAAAACAGTTGTGAATTTTCTCTTCCACGGAAAAAAATAAATCAAGCATTCAAAGAACAAGACTAAAAAAAGGATAACTCCGAACTCTAATAACAAGCCTAAACGAAATTCTAAGAAATAGTCTCTTATTTTTAATCACTATGTTGTTGTATGTAGTATTAGCTAATGGGCTTCATAATCATATACTGCCACCCGGAAGCACTTTATTTATCAAATTCGTTTCTTTTCATAGTAACTGCATTTGCCTTAATAATGGATAAGTTTAGCAATAATTATTGTAGCGGACATAAGTATCCGACCGCGAGATCATCCAAAATTATTATATAACTACCCCTTAAATTTTCCAGAAATATAATGTAACACAATACATGATCACCTGTAAATTTATA